TCCGCGCCGCGCCCGGCCGGCCCCCCGGCGGCGCCGAGCCCAACCCCCCCCCCCCCCCCCGCATGAAGCCGTGCACGGGCTGCTCAACGCCCTCATGGACGCCATCCTGGACCGGGTCGACTTCGACCAGGACCAGCCGCTGCTCCTGCTCCATGTCATCCCGCTTGCCTGTGCGTGTGCTGCCCATATCCCCTGCCGGACCCGGCTCGGGCCCGAGCCGCGCTGACCCGCGCTGACCCGCCCTGCCTGCCGTGCCGACGCCCGGCCACGCAGTTCCCGCCCTGCTGACGGCGGCCCCTCCGCACGCCGGGCACCGTGCCCTGCTCAAGCTCCTCGGCCACGCCGACAGCCTGGCGCATCTTTCCGAGCTGGCGCACATCGCCCGGGCTGTGGCCCGCCCTGCGCATGGTGCGCCCCGGTTGCGCCGGCTCCCCGCGCGTCCGGCCGCCTCACTGACTCCCCCCTGCCCGCAGTCGCCGGGTCCGGCGACTCCCCCTTCCCGGGGGTCGACGCCCTCAACGGCTTCCTGGCCATGTGCATCTTCGGCCCGGCCGGCATGGACCTCGTCCTCCACCCGGAGACCCGCGTCATCGACTGTGACTTCGACCCGGGCCCGGCCTTTGCCGAGTGGGACGACGACTCGGCCGAGGCCCACGCCCACCGCGAGCACCCGGCCACCAGCCACGGGCATCGGACACGGGATTGCGAAGACCACGCGAGCCAGGCCGAAAGCCACGGCGATCTCGGGGGCCCGTGCTCCCGGGATGCATGCCCCGCCGTCGGCATGCGCCAGGGCCAGCACCTTGACGCTGGCGGCGACCTGGCGGGCGGCCACGAAGCTGGCCACAGCGAGGTCCGTGACAGTGACGAGAGCTCCATCGCCGACCAGCACTCCGACCAGCACTCCGACCAGGACTCCGACGAGGATGACCCGCTCCCGGCCATGCCACCGGTGGTGCACTTCTCCATGGGGAACGCCCAAGGGGACGGCGCCCCGAAGAGGCTGGACCCGATCCTGCAGGATCTGCTGGCCACCGGCCGACACACCCTCCCCGCGGGCCTGCCCTTTGACACCAACTACCCGCAGCTCCTGTGGTTCCTGGCCCGGTGGGCCGACAACCGGGACCTGCTGAACATCTTCCAGGCCTTCCAGGAGGCGGGGTGCTGCTCGACGCCCGTGCACCTTCTGCAGATGCTGGAATTCGCCACCAGCCGGGCGGCTGCCCTGCTGACCATGCTGCTGGAGCCGGCCCTGGCGGTCGTCGGACAGTCGGCCATCCTCGGTGCGTCTCCCTGCGCGCCATGCCCCAGCAGGCCCGGCTCCGCGCCCGCACAGGCCCCCTGGTCTGCGACTCACCAACGCCACCCCGACACACTCGCACGCGCATGCCCAATCCAACACTCGCACGCCATCGCACAACGCAGATGGCACCGACGCCGACAGCCTGCCCCTGGTGCACGGGCACGTCCTCGTGTCCGGCACCATCCTGCTCAAGTGGCTGCAGTTCGCCTGCGACGCGCCCCTCGATCTCCCCCCGCCCCCGGCCGGGGCCGCCCTCGCCGGCATGGGCACCCTCCTGCCGCGCGTGCTCGCCGTGGCCCTGACGGTCCTGGACGCCTGTGCGCC